AAGATTTTATTTTAAAAATAATGCTTTTAAAAAAATTTCAGGGCAAATTTGCAGGAGAAACGGTTTAAGAGATAAGCCTTCATAATATCTCGCTTTATTGTATCGGCACTGATGCTAAAATCAGACAATAATCTATTAATGAGCTTGTGAAAACCTTGCCCTTCTACAAACTTGAAGCTTAACTCATCCAAAACTATCATGTCAGTTAAGTCTTTCTGGGTTAAATCTTTTGAATATAGTCTTTTTCTTGTTTGAGTATCAAATCTTAATTAAGTTTGGCCATTTGGTAAATTTGGATCTGAACTGCCATCATTAAATAATGACCTTTGATACTTATAGCAAGAATCTAGATGGCATCGAAGATGTGATGTCCCACTTCCCTTTTTGACTTAACAACTTATTACAGTATTTGCATTTAGCTTTTTGTTTATCGTGTACTACAGAAAAACTATTCTATACATGAGATGTATACTTTGGTAATGCAATTTGGCTAGAAGTTTCACTGTTAGTTTGGCTAATAATATTGGTAGTTGTACTATTTGTCAAGCCAGTATCAAAATTGGTAACGGATGATACTAGTACAAAAGATATTGAAGTAGAGTCATTAGAGATTAATATGTCATCAATATCATAATTATTGATATTGTAATTTTTCAAAGAGTTATCTATGTTAGTAGATTCATTATAATTATCTGTTGAGTTATTTACATTAGCAGTCTTATTGTGACTATCCATAAGGTCACTCATATTGACAGAAGCAGGATTGTTCATCTTGATATTTGGTAAATATTAGTATTAGTGAATTTTTACTTCTAGTGATATTTTAAAGCACACTAGTAAACTTCTATTCTGATATACCAAGCTTTTTGACAGCTTCACACTTTCTTATTAATTGGTAAGTATGTGTTGGTATATACTTTACTATGTTGGTAGTTTAGTGCAATAGTGCGTTAGTACTTTAGTACAATGTGCAATGGTGTGTTGGTACTTTAGTGTGTTGATATTTTAGTGCGTTGGGATTTTAGTGTGTTGGTACTTTAGTGCATTGGCACTTAGTGCGTTGGTACTTTAGTGCTTGGTGCTTTAGTGCTTGGTACTTTAGTACGTTGGTGATTTAGTGTATTAGGGCGACAGCAATTTTAATATATTAGGCGTTGGTTATTGTTATTAGTAATTATTGGGTTAAATTTTAAAACTGAAAAAAAAAAATTACTAATACATATATATGGGGTTGAGTCAATAGAAATAAAGCAAATTTTTTTTAAGTAAATTTTTTTAAACTTTAAACAATAATAACTCAACAAAAACTTAATCAAATTTAATAA